ATAAAGGAAAAAAGTTTTTAAAAACAGGTGGGAAAAGCCCAATGAAGCTAAAACAGACAAAAAATAGAGGTAAGAACACAAAATTGAGGACAAAACTAATGGAATTGAAGACTACAGAACCATACTACAGCAGCAAGCACTGAAAAATGACTGAAAATATTCTAAAAATATGTCTACACATGAATTGCGAACAGGGAAGCAGCTTGCATAATTCAAAAACTAAACTAAATGTGTGTGTACTTGGATAATTTAAGTCAAAGATGGCAAGTTTTACGGTGCTCGCAACTACATAGGTCATAAATCATATGGATAATCAATGAAAAAGTAAAACAAACGAGTATTCTGATAAAATATTCAAAGGGTAGTCAAAGAAGCACACCCATTTGTTTTGTAAGCACAGTAAATAGAATGAAATACATGAATATATAAAAGTAGCTGATAGCAACAAAAAGTACCCGTACGGAACAGGGGAACAAAAAGTAATGAAAGCAGCAAGTGGTTAGGCTACCAGACACATAATCGTGAGGTTGCAGGTTCGGGGGTTCGAGCCACGGGCCTGACTTTGGGTGCTTGGGAAAGGCACTTTACATTAATTTTCCTCACTTCACCCAGGTGAGAATGGGTACCCGGCCATAGACAGCGAATGATCTTGTCAGTATGTTAGTATTGTTAGTGTTTTAGCGCCTATAAATGACCGCTTGCACTGTATTGTATGCTTCCCAGGAAGTTGAGGTTGTTTCAGAATGCTCTGCTGGGGAAATAGTATAGATTGTGAAGCGCAGAGCTTGCTGGTGAGCAGGGATTTGCGCTATACAAATGCTATCTATTATTATTATTATTATAATGGCATCGTGTGTGAAGTGACTAAAAAATACTACCAAGCTCCCACCGTCGCTGGTTTTAACATTAATTGACTTACACTCATTAGCCCTAAATATACTTCTAACCAGATTCTGAGTAAATAGAAAAGGTACTACTTACTCCCACACCAATCCTCAACTTGTCCACATTATAAGCCTGGCTTAACTTTTGAACAATGAAAAACACTAGGATCACACTGAAAGTACTATTGTCATCATTATTTAGACTACAGGAATACACAGACCCTTCACATCAAAGGAAAGTGGAAAAAAAAAGGATTTAAGTCAGTAGTGCTAATAAAGACAATAATAAATAATAATACATTCCCTCGAACATTACGGGGATGACATTCCCAAACCTCCCATGACAGGACAATATCTGAAGTAGAAACAAAGTATTTATTTATTACAGGCCTTTATAAATAATAATAATAATAATAATAATAATAATAATAATAATAATAATAATAATAATAGACCCCCTGGGGCGGTAACACTGACTGAAGTGTCTTTAGGCCATTTCCAAAGGGGGGACATTTCTCGTTCTAGTGCACAGTAGAATTGTAAATGGGCTGATCTAACAAAGTCATGCTCATAACTGTGCCTGAACTACAACACGGAACTGCTCCTTTCCTAATCCTTACTATCGTCATTTCCTCTACTTCTTTAGTATGTTTGTCACTCTCTTGTGACTTGCTATTTCCGGGGTGCCTTGATAGTCGAAGCAGACTTTGTGCTGCTGAAGCTAGAGAGGTGAGCAGAGTAAGTCTGATTCCCTGTAAGGACTTCTCTGTTGACATCCACCCTTTGACGCTCATACGACCTTTTTCAGTTGCCAGCGCCGTAAAACCTCTACTAAAACTAAACTAATAATAATAGATGCATTTGTACAGCACAAATCCCCGCTCAACAGCAAGCTCTATGCACTTCACAATCTATACTATTACCCCAGCAGACCTGAGAGCATTCTGAAACAACCTCAACTTCCTGGGAAGCATACAGTGCAAGCGGCCATTTATAGGCGCTAAAACACTATTTACGCTCGTACCTACAAGATCTTTCGCTGTCTTTGGCCAGGTACACATTCCCACCTGGGTGAAGTGAGGAAAATTTGTGTAAAGTGCCTTTCCCAAGGACAAAACATCAGGTCCGCGGCTAGATTCCCAAACCCGCAACGAACTCTTAAAATCCTCCCCGTATTCTTAAAAACCCCTCCCACACTTTTATAAACACTTTCTACATTTGGAGTATGAGAGACCAATGATATTTCAAAAGTAAAACATTTGTAGTACTGAACAGAGTGCTATAACTGGTTCGCCTACTTTTGGCTAGAAAAAAAAACAACCTGATGTACTGAGTCCACGAAATATGATCCATGTTGTTGCAAGGGAATACTGTAGTCTGCAAAAACAGCAAATGCTAGCAAAAAAAGTTATAAACAGTAATCAAAACAAATAAAACAGAATGGTGTCAATCAGCAACCAACCCAGTAAATTAACACGATCCACAAGAAGTTATTTGAAGATAGTTCTTTTTTTGTAACAAACATTTTATTTTTAAAACTAAAAAAAACTTACGGCCATTAAATTTCCTTTGAAGATATTTGAAGAAATCATTTGCTATGAACAAAAAAAACAGTCCAGCATCTCGTTCCAATGTCACAAAATGGCATATGTCTTTGTCAACGTGACTAGGCAAAAAACACACTAGCAAAAAGACAAAACAGTACAAAGACACATTTAGTTTGATGTTTTCTTATGCTAACTACGGGTAAACACACATACATCTAGGTGGACAGCAATGAAAAATGACTCATTCGTATATGAGAATATGCAGATACAAATGTATGTATTCATACACATACATAGATAACATATGAATACAATTACTTCCTGCCACAGTATGTGTCTTTGACATCAAGTAAAATAGCTAATAAAGCATCAAAATCACCGATAAAATAATGCACATGATGGGATATATGTCACCCATATTTTAAGTTTGTGCATAAATAATGTAGGTTAGATTGATATTCCTGAGATAAAGCTACTAACAAATAATTTTAAAGCTCAGGGGAAACAAAACTCAAAACGAACTGTAACACCACATAAGCATTGAAAATAGAAACCCTGTTCTTAATTTTATTAAGAGAAGATGAATGGTTTCTACAGAATTCTGCATGGCACCAGCTCAATGTGACCAATCCGCTTCACACATAAAACTAGACGAAAAAAAGTTAAAACAAAAAACAAAAAAATTATCAAATGAGTAAATTATTGGGGTATGACCTAAGAAATAATGCCCATCTCCAATAAGCAAGGTACGAGTCTTAACACTTGTTCTGATTGAAGCATGGGTCGCTTATTGTTTAATCTAATGCTCTGTAAGAGGCTACATTCCAAAAGTTTATCTGTGGCTGACAATTCAAGCTTACAAGTGAACGTTCCAATAGAGGAATGTCTGACTGGTAGCATGATTTTTATGGGTCTATGAGTGAGTAGAACACACACATTTACAGAGGCAGAATAGTCTCCAACTAAAATGGCAGGATACACTGAGGAGGAGTTTTTCAACAACATTTCTCGCCCCTGAATGACTTTAACCCAGAAAAGTCCAAGAATGAGTTCTAATGACTTACAAATTATAATACCATCTCTCATTAGAGACTAATTTTGAAAAGACAAAACTAATAGAACGGTAAAAATAAAAAGTCTGATCAGTGGCCAAGAACCATATACTAAAAAGGATTTACTATCAGGAGGTATAATCCTGGTTCCTGTACTTTGTTCCATCGTACTACTGAAAGAGCCAATGGTGCACCTGAATGGCGAATGCGTAGTAAAAAAGAAAAAGTGAATTCACAGTTCACAATAGACAGAAAAGTAAAACACTTTGAAGAGGATTAAACCTAGTCCATAATTGCCAGTTGGGAGCAATATACTTCTCTTTGCTCTTTCTCCTCCTCTTTATTTTATCCAAGGCAGATGAAACACCCTCCAAACAAGCGTTTGATTCATCGCTTTTAAGTATCCGTCAAATCTTTGGACAAATTCTTAAGAAAGAACATTACAAAACAAAAACTTAAATAGCAAAAATTAACATGTTATGCATGAATGTCCACATAAATAATGATTGAAAGTCACATATTTACAGCCACGAAAAATTGTTTTAAAAATAAATAATATCTGTGGGACCAAGAAAACTAATGACAATGACTCATCCTGGAAATTTTGGTGAGCATTTCTCATGCCATTTCTGGCAAAACAAAAAGTAACATTTTTTTGTGGTGTAAACTGATGTGTCAAAACTTATGTCAGCCTTAAAAATTTGATCATTTCACATAAAACCTGACACTATCAACAAACGGCTACACATTCACAGCTACATCTTTGGTCTTCTGGTCTTCCTGTGTAAACAAAAAAATTATTTGGCAAATAGACAAACCTACAATGTAATTGGATAAAATAATAATCTGGATAAAGAAACGCAACTGTGTATTTAAAAGAATTTTCTATGTAAAAAATCAGCATCGTACTGACATTTCTGGCAAATACTGAAATAAGAATCTGAGTAGCTCAAACATTCCTAGGCTCACCGGGTTCTTGACAATGTGGAGTACAAGACTTCAAGAGTTCGATCAGCTGGAGCCAGACAAACATCTTGATGTAATATCTGTCTCTTTCCCTGTCTCATTGAGACCATAACTAAATGTCATTTGCCTTATCATCTTGATTTGTACTCTAGACATCTGGATATTTACAATGTACTGCTAAAAGACATTAACAAAACCATGAGAAAAATCTGAAAAGGAACCCCAAAAAGCTACTAAACATGTGGAATCAGGTGCTCATCAATTTTGGGGCATATGGAGATACTGGTATCATCTTAAAGCCTGTCCATTTGCCTTGCTTCTGATGAAATAAATATCCATTTATCTTGAATACAAGTCAAGATGTTGGCGATTGAAGGAAGTGGGGGTCTCCTGGTTTCAGAGGTAAACTTAGCAAGAAAATGGCCGCCAAAGTTGAGTTATTTTCTTAGCTTGAGAGTCCGTGAAAACTAAAAACTTACATCCTTTACGCTTTTAATCAACGCTTTTCAATAAAATGCACATAGAAATGTGTTCTTTAATGTGCATGAAAGGTGCGGAAAAATGCCAGGTTCTTGACTTTCATTATTTTGACAACCGCCTGATTTCACCACACTGCCTCACATATGCTGAGTTTGCTGACATGTGCAATAAGTTTTAAATGTTCTCTTTCAAGCTCAAGTTCTGATTCAAAAGCAGTAAATGATATGAACTCAAAAAGAATAAAAGATTTGGGGCATTTTTTTTTTCTCCAAATCTCAAGGAACCCTCATACATTTTTCTGTCACAGAAGAAAACTAAAATCATATGAAGGGCAAAGAGAACACTGGACATAAACTATGCACACAGAAATTTCTCTAAGATTGTTAAGTAGTGTTGTTATTCAAGGTAGATTTACTTACATACATCTCCCAACAACTTGATAATCAAGACTGCCAATATAAACATGTATTGCTCATATGATATTCCATAAAAAACATAACATTTGAAAAATGCCAATTTATAAGTGAACATTTTTATCAAGAACCCCAGTCATATTGGAAACAGTTCTGAGACATCCGCAGGCTGGTGACCATTAACTTTTCGCAGGCAAACAAACAGTAACACAAACAAATAAACACACATATGTCACCAGTAAATACAAAATGTTGAGTTGAGTATTTTGGCAGCTCTCAGAGAATTAAAGTCTTGATCTGTGCACAAAATAATAGTTCAAGCTAAAAAAAAAACACAAATAAAAGCATTGAATTTTAAAAAATGGAAGTTTGAAAAGGGGAAATAAGTTCCATCTCCAAAATTGGAAATTAGCATAATGTTATGAAAACATCCTGAGCTATTTTTAAAAAATCTAAAGTTGTTTCTTCATTGTAATAGATAACACAAAGCTCACTGTCTCAATGCACTATAGTTCTCTCCTCAATGGTGACAATTCCATCATTCACCGCCGTGGTGTAGCGAGCCAAGTCTTTGCGCGTCACGATGCCGATGACCTCGTTGCGGAAGTTGATGACGACCATGTGGCGCAGACCAAGAGAGCGGAACTTTTTGAAGATGCTAGTGTAAGACGCACTCTGAGGGCAAACAACATTTCAACAGTTAACAGTTTCATTGAGTTACGATCTTACAGTGCTATCAACACAAAAAAAGGGCTCCTGAGTAATTACACATCTATTTGCAAAAATAATGCGGTGGTTACAGCCATTCCATTTTTACATGGTGTTGGGGCTGTATCAACACAATCTAAGTCCTACATTCGATGTGGAGTTGTAACCATGGTGAGTCAGCATGACAACAGCAATGTTTCTCTTGAAACAAAATTAGACAATGATAATAAAGAAAAGAAGTGCCCCCTACAACCACAGGTAAAGTTAATATTTACCTGAAACAGGTAACTATCCTATAGTTTAATTGAGCTGGGGTCTTAAAGCACTATTTACACAAAAGTCTTCAACTCTTTCCGAACGTAGTTGTTTTGGGGTTTAGACGTAATTAACTTGTGACTCGTTTTGGCTACACAGGCGGTGTACAAAATAACTTTATATAAGCATAATAACCATAACTCAAAACGTAACGTATGACATATCAAATTGAAGAAAATTGAACAAAGAATATATTCCAACATGAAACAAGGATTAATTTTGAATATAAGTATACATTAAAAGGGTTAGAAATGGTGATGATGGTGAGAAAAATACATTTTTATGGAAAAAATTACACACACTAAACATGTGAAAGCAAAATCAGCATAGCTATCTTATCATATACAGGCCAAGAGATGATTCCATAAATTTCTGAAAGTGTAGCTTTTTATTTGAATGCAATATTCCAATTTTTGTTTGAGTTATGACATTTATACTGAATCCAGTTACATCGTTTTGTTGATGCAAGACTGCAAGAACTAATTCACTCGTTTTTCTCCAGATTGAAGCTTTGACAAAGTGAAACTAGATGTTTTTGTTTTCTAAATTCTTTTCAAATTTTCAATAACAATAAAAAGTACTTATAAATAATGGATCTTGTTAAAACGAAACAAAACTGAGGCCACCCCATCATAGACGATATATCGGCGACATGTTCGCAAGGGGTGTGGACTCACACTGATATATCGGCGATACGTCCGGAAAGAGTTAAAATAGATTCTAGTAGTTAAAAAATACACATTAGAAGTCAACAATGTAAGATCAATTATTTTTTAAATCTTAATAATCCAAGCAAAAAGTTTAACAACACAGACCAAATGAGAAAATGTACAAGGCACTCATTCATTTCTACAAGCACTTCATTCCACCGGGAGTCTAACCAAAAAAAACAAAAAACAAAGAGGCAAAATGTTTCAAGCCTCAAAACATATTTCACAGACTACTTATTTGGCATTGTGAAACCAAGGTCAACAGTAAAAAAGATTTTGATATATTTTAATTTTCTAAGACAGCTTCAGTCTGGGTCTAAATGATTAATTACTATGATGACTATCCAAATCAGGAAAGTTGATAGAAATTAGACGCTGATAACTGGTCGGAATCAAGTTGTGGTATACAAACACCACACAATACATCAATACAACAATGAGGCATTTCACAAAGCAGGGAAACGATACATATACCAGAAAAACACTGCAGAGAAGTAGGGCACAAATGCGCATAAAACCACCAAGACCTTAGAGGTGACAAGTGGGGGAGGGGGGGGGGGGGGGGGCATGTGTATCATTTGAGTGAAGAGAAGCTCATCAACATAAAAAAGGTCATTTAGTGCCATGGAAGAACAAAACAGACAGACTGAATGAAACAGCAAAGAAGAGAAAAGAAAAGAAAATAGGACCTATCAGTGACGCCCTCCAACCACTTGCAAAAAAAATAAAAGACAAAAGTGTGGGGTCACTCACCTCTAGAACAACGTAATGCGACTGGTTGATAAATGGCTCCAGGTTCATGTGGTAGTTGCGCTCCTCTGAGGTGAGGCTGATGCGCTGGTGAAGAAAAAAGAAAGACAACAATACAGAAAATACTTACAGTGATAGAAGTTTCAGTAAACAGTAGCACATCAGCACAATAACAGTCATTTAGTTTTGGTTTAGTAAGAGTTTTACAGCTCTTGCAACACAATTAGGCCACATAAGTGACGAAGATGACAGCTGTTACAAGAGAGTAAAAAACACAAAAAAGAAGGATGAAAGATAGGGACGTTAGATGTTTGACAGGAAAGAAGGAGCAAACTACACTAGGACACCCGCCAACAACCCACAATGATCATTTAGTGCTATGAAAAAAGCAAGACAGACATATAGAATAAATAGAGAAGAAGGGAAAGGAATGTAGTAGGACAAAACCAGCAGTACCAAGTAACCGTGCATACTCACTATGAAAAGTAGCATTAATCTGAGCTACTACAGTGATTTGATGGTCTGGCACCTTGGCAGAGAAGAAAATTTCTCACTTACAACAAAGACACTGTCACCACAATGTTAACATTCAAGCTCCATTTCGTTTTAGTTGTAGTAGAGGTTTTACGGCGCTCGCAAATGCATAAGGTCATAGGAGCACCAGAAGATCAGAGGTAGTGCAAGAGAGTAACAAACATAAAAAAGAAGAAGGGGAGATAAGGACGATAGATGTTCAATAGGAAGGAAGAAGCTATCCACACCAGAGCACCCACCAACCACCCACCTCTATTTCGTGTCTTGCTAGACTTATACAAAAGTGGTATGCATACCTGTATAGGCGTGTATCTCGGATAGCAGTCGTTGAAATGTGCCATCTTCAAGGAACCAATAATTTCATTAATATCAGGATTCTCCTGAAATAGCTGAAAAAGAGACATATTTTATGTGACCAAGGATATTTACCAAATACACCTGAATCTGTTTGTGAATTTGTAAACCTGTTCATTTTTTTATGTAGAAAAAACTTTAAACAGAGAAACAAATGAATAAGAGGTACTTGAAATTGTCCAAGACAGACACCCACTGTCAAGGAACAAAGGTGTTGTCTTACACAGGAGGGCGTTTTGGACAGTGTCATAAGATTTTTTTAAAACACAAGGGAAGAATTGGGAAGTGGTCATTTTCACAGGTGACTATCTTGGACAGGTAGCCATTTGAGCAGGTTCCGCTGTATGAAGTTGGACCTCCACTTTGAACCATCAATTTTTAATTGGACTGAACTAAGTGGATGGAGATCTATAAACACTCCATGAAATAACTTACATTCAAGAACACCAAATTGGTCTTTACTTTTACTTTAATTTATTTTATCCTTCCTTTGTATCGTTGGACATCGAGGGAAGGTGTAATCTTTGGTCAAGGGCTAGGTGACCGGCTTCTATGGTAGATACGTTATTCTCCTTGAAGACCTCTTTAACGCCATAAGTTTTGCTTAGTCTGCCCTTTTGAGTTATATATGCTTGTGCGGCTCGATTGGGAGGCATTCTCATTAGATGACTTAACCACTTGATTCTTTGATGTTCTTTTATGTTCCATGATTGGTTTCATCTCCAATAAATTGAAACCTGTCATGGATTTAACGATTTGAAGAGCATATTTCACTCATTCATAGTTGTTCATGTTATCACTCAATTTTTCTTTGTCTCACCTTTTTCTTCAACATCATCAGCAGCTGGCTACGCAGCACCAGCCCACGGAATGTCCCAAATGTCTCACAGCCATCAACTATCTGTGGATAACATCAAAACACAACTCTAAAAGGAAAAAAACCAAACAAACAGAGTAAAGAACACATATCCAAAACTCTCAGGTCATTATCTTTTTGCCTAAAGAGTGTGATAGTGGGAGGAAAGGGGTTGGGTGGGGTGGGGGGGCGGGGCGATTCCTTTTGAAAGGTTATGATGGTTGTGATTAGGGGCGGGTTTTCCCCTAAAGGTTATGGTGGTTGTGATTTGGGAGGGGTGGGGGGTTCTTCACCTAAAAGTTGTTGTGATAGGGGAGGGTGGTTCTTTCACCTAATGGCTATGATGGGGGTTTTTTTTTCTATTTTTCATCTTATGGTTGTGATGGTTCTTTCACTTGAAGGTTGTGATGTTAAGTGGGCAGAAATTTTTGGATTGATATTTAAAAAAACAAAAAAACAGAGCAGTCATTTGTACTGACCTTTGGAGTGTGAGGGTCATACTCGTCCACAACAGGGAAACCGTTATGTGACTCTTCCTTCAAGATGCGAGCAATACGGCCAACAGACTCATGCATTCGCAACACTGTCACTGGGTGACTCATTACAGATCTGGTTGAAGAATGAATGAATGAATGATCAAACAAACAAATGATGAATGATCAAACAAATGATGAATGATCAAGCAAACAAATGAATGAATGAATGACTGAATGAATGAATGACTGAATGAATGAAAGAACAGTCTAATATTAAAGGGCGGGGGGCATTCCACTACAAAACAAGGACCGCAGAGAATTCTGGGAGTTACAAACATAGAAATTGACATGCATATCCAACTGGTCGAGGTAGAATGTTAGCACTTATAAAGAAGTGTTGAAAAAACACTACTGAAATTCTAATTCATTCATGAACAGAGCTGTGTACAGCTGCATCATGGTACACAAGAGGGGTATTTCAAAAGTCTTCATCAGCTATTACTTTTTTACACTAATGCTATTCAAATTAGCTAAGCACCCTCTAAAACAGGACTGACAAGTAAATCTTACGGGCAAACTATGACTATCACTTGCATTAATAATGTGACCTGTTGATTTCATTAGAGAATGCATGTGAATTCAAAATTGGCAAACTGGCTTGCATTTAAAAAGAAACACATTTTGCAAATGTAAAACAGTACGTTTGACGTGAGATATATGTATGTATATAAATATATATGACCAACATTAACAAAATCTAACAGGCCACAGGCGTTGCTATGTTCGCGAAAAGTTAATAATACACGACTGGGCCCTATCCTAAGTTTGGCCAGATTTGACTTGAAATCAATACCTCGATCATATTTCTCCAGAAAAAAGTAAAATTATGTTCAAACTCACAGAATTAAATGTATTTTCATATTTTTGACAATTGTGTTCAAGGACGATAGTCCAAACTTGAATTAACGCCTGACTTCTTCATGCTTTATAGTCATGTAGATTATGGAGAGAAAATATAAATAGCACTTTGGACATACCAACACGTTAAACATATGGACCCACAAGACCGACTCACGAGTCAACATAATCAATGGTATTTCATAAAGAAATTCTCCAAGAACAAACAAAATACAAAACATTTTTACGAAAGCAGCCTAGCATAAAGACAGCAATAAAACATGTCAGAGGATCAATCTTTGGTAGCTAAAAACAAACAGTGATTGCACCACCCTTCTATCCAGAATACAGTCAATTCAAAAACTCTTGGGGGTGTGTCTTTTGGCTCATACAACACCGTTTTCACAATCAATCGTGTACGGAAAATGAAGACAAAAATAAACTAACAGCAATACAAAGGGAATCATTCATTCAAATACATTTACTGACAAACGACATGAAGCAAAAAACTTTATTTGAAAAAGCAACAAAATTTTAACAATCTTACAAACAAACAAAATCAAATAATCTTACAAATTACAAAACAGATGGAATTCATTTTTTTTTTAACTTTACAAAGGGAATATGATTAAACAAATCTAAGAGTAAAAGGAATCAAAAGAACAAGTATGCAATCAAAAGAGATTAAGTCAAAAATGTCTAAAGAGAACTCACTTAGCACTGAGATTGGCAGACATAGGTAGCGGCTCCCAGCCTAACAGAGGCACCCCCTGCAGGTGAATGTGGAGATCGTAGATACCCTGGATGACGAAAGACAAAACAAACTTAATAAAGAAACTGCTTTACTTTACAGGAACAGGAAAAACAACGATTATAGGTTGTGAACGTCTACGTCCTCCTGAACCGATTGCGCGCGCGCGCCGTGTGTGTATGCGTGCGTGCGTGTGTGTGTGTATGTGTATGTGTGTGTGTGTGTGTTCATGCATGTGTGTGCAAGTATGTATGGGAGTATGCTAGCGTAGCTATGTATGTGAGCGTATGAAAGTGTACGTATGAGAGTGTGTGTCTGTGTCCCCTGTATGAGTACAAATAAATTGAGTGTATGAAAGACAGTCAGTCTGATAGATAGATAGATAGATAGATAGATAGATAGATAGATAGATAGATAGATAGATAGATAGATAGATAGATAGATAAAATATGTATGTGTTTATAAAATGGTGTTTTTACAACCCCATCGACACAATTTAGATCATTTAGCAGACGAGCTTCCGACCCTGTCTGTCAGGGCCGACCGGGGCCGAGACAGATACGTCCCAGCAGAAAGACTGAAATAGATACATGTACTCGATTAAAATTCCCCCTCCCACCCCCCGACTCGAAAACCCCACCCGCTCCACAGCAGACCCGGTACTGTGACATTTTGACGCCGCGTACTAGCCTACTAGACCTTCCCGCGTGTACAACCATGACCTTCGGTGACCTCATGCCGGGGCGACTGACCGACACCCGCTGCCCAACACGACCTTGACCTCGGGAGCCGTGATGAACTCAGTGCTTGCTATACTATGAACCGCTAACATCACGCTAGACGAGCCTTCAGGACATTATCTCATTATCGTTCTGCTCTGCTCTTTACTTTTTTTTATTCAAACTTTAAATAAACATCAATCAATTCGCTATGCTATGGTATTTTTCGTAACGTTGAAAAAAATAAACTAGCATCTGTGGTAATCGCAATGACAGACCCTCCGCCCTGCGCACAAGAGACGCATGTTCCACTCCCCAACTAGGAAAACTAATAATAGATCAATAGATTCCATTTATTTAGCGCTCTACGCCATCCAATTATACGTTCTGAGCGGTTTACACTGATGACAATAATTTTTGGAGAAAAACCTCACACAAAAGAAAACACACACACACACACATACACACACACACACACACACACACACACACATACACACACACCATTACATATAAATAAGAAAGGCAGACCAATCACATAAGGGAGAATTTCTTCAGCCATTCATTGATCAATATACATTAAATTGCATTCACGTAAGGACAGCAGTGAAAACAAAACACATCAGCACCAGCTAACTCACTCCATCTAAGACTTAAAAACGAGTCTTAAGCAATAATCGCTTAAACTTCTTAGATTTGGCGGGGGGGGGGGGTAGTCTCTCTGAGGTTCTGGTGTAGGGAGTTCCAAATCTTAGGGCCAAAAAACTAACTCTTCTGTCTTTCTACCGGGATAGGCCTATAACTCAGCAGCCCGAAGAGGAAGCGCGCTCAGAGACCACGGAGACCAAGGATACAATGTATTTTTTGGCGTCACTATCCGGGGGGAAAAGATAGTGCGCAAATCTCTTATTAACGTTGTATTTCCGTCGGTCTCTGCGCCCACTCACCATGCAACAGATAGCCCGGGAACGGACGCAAAGAATTTTGTATCGCATGTGTTATCTTTTTCGTTGCCAATCGATACGGGAGATCGTTTTTCGTGCGAGTCGACGTTCTCAATAGGCGAAATGTACTTTTTAATAAGACAGGAAAATGGAGCGCATGTACAGGTTATGTGTGTGTGTGTGTGTGTGTGTGTGTGTGTGTGTGTGTGTGTGTGTGT